ATGTTCTTACCCCACTCTAATCACAGCCTATTACATACAAAACAATCTCTTAAACAAAAAGAAAAGAAATAAACCCAACTAACCCTTGCTAGTTCTTTTTTATTTATTTATTTTCATATTATGATGAGTTATATGATAAAAAATAATTTTTTTATTTTTTTTAAATTTTCTTTCACTTAACTTAACATTCAAATATAAAATCTTTAAATTAAAATTTCAAATCAATGAACCCACTTAATTGGGAGCAAGAATTCTTATCTCTCTCTAGTAGGCCTAGCTCAAGATCGGACAATCTCAAGCCTCAAAACCAATGTGTAGGAGCGGCTTTGTACGACATCATACCAATCCTAAGCCGATCAAGACCAGGACCACCCAATTTTTTAAAGAAAAAAAAATTTCAAAACTTGAAACCATTTTGAATATATAGCTTAAAGTCTTAAAACTTTAAGGTTTTTGCTGATGCTTAGTTAAATAAATTACAACTTGTTTAAAAATGCAAGTGAACCTTTACAAAAAAAAAAAACCTTTAATCTTATTATTGAAGCACAAATCCGAACCTAAAGATAAATATATACGAAAATTGTAATAAAGTTAGATAAGAAAGAGAAAGAACACAGATCTGCGTGAAAACCCCTTTGAATATTCCAGTAATTGCACAGTGCATCACTGTACTGTTCTTTTTCCCTTTTTTTTTTTTTCTTAATCAAACGGTCCCGGTCGTCTTTTTTTTGACTTCATGTTCTCGGCGGACTCATTGTTGAGCCGGTCGTACCTGAACCTGTCATCCTGTGCTCGAGACTCGAGACCAGAAGAAGGGGCTACGTCCCGAGCTTTTGCTGGGCCGAGACCGTCTCGGGAAGAACCCTTACTTGGAGGTATTGAGGTATTCCTCATCACCCTTTGACAAAGTTATCATATGCCCGCTTACTAAATTTCTTTTTTTTTTTCGCAATTTGCACCAAAAAAAAGCACTTTTTTTGCAATTTTTTTTCTAAATTATATTTTTTTATTGACACTTGTTAGCATTGTAAATGCTAAAAAAATAACTTTTGTCAATTAAAGATATATATTTTTATAGAAATTTGATGCAAATAACTATATTTTTTAATTTTAATAGTGGATTATTATGTCATCCATAAGCCCAATTTTTATAGAGTTTTGTACATTAAATTATACAATAAAAAGTAATTATATCATATCTCTTAATTTTATCTCGTCTGTATGCTATATAATTTAAATTTAAAATTTCTTATTTTTATAAAAAAAATTACCACTAAATTATATAAATTATTAAAAAAATAATTATATTGTTTAATTTACATAGTGGACCATTCTATTGTCCATAAACCCATAGAGAACCACGAAGTGTTAATTTTCTTTGCAATTGGGAGCTGGTTGTAAAGAACTAAAGTTTTTTCCTCTTAAAAGGGGTCGGAGAGAAAAGAAAGAGTCAAAATAGAGCTTGATGCCAGCGTTTAGGACGAGACAGCTCAAAGCAAGTCCGTGAACTGGCAGTCGTCCACGTGAGGTCCATTCGGTTCACTCTTTGACAAGTATATATGAGCTGGATTTCATCCCCAATTTCTTTTTTTCCTTCATTTTTATTTTGGAATAACCTCCAAGTTAGTCCAAGAACTTTTCTTGTTTTCTCAATCCAGCACGCAAACTTAAGTTTGAATTGTATACATTTAGATACGATGGTTAAAATGCAACAATTTTTTTTTTTTAAATGTATGTAGCAGGCCTGGTTGACTTAAAAAAAAGTTTTAAATAGATTTTTTTTTTTTGAACATATTTGCAAGGGGCGGGTTTCGAACCCAACCCGAAGAGGAGGGAATGCACCGGAGTGGCTATTACCACTAAGCCTCAAGGGGCCAGGTGCGTTCTAAATAGATTGAAAAAACAATAAAAAAAGGAAAAATGAAAACACAGAACCACTAAACTTAGGTCAATCATCTCCAAACAGCAGCATGCACCCACCACCAATCATTACTGCAAGATCATCTTCCCGTCTTGCAAAACTTAAAAGGTTAGTTGGTTAAAGATAAATTCTCTCTCGTCAATGTAAAATTTTATTAAAAAATAAAAATTTAGAGTAAATTTTAAATAAATTTTAAATAAATCTATAATTATAATATATTATTAAATAAATAAATATAAAATATTATGAATAAATTCAAATAAAAATTTAAATTATATATAATAATAGATTATGATTATAAGTGACAACTAACATCGTAAATATACCAATTTGTTACTATTTTTGGCTTCCACACTCGGTGTTTTAAAGTAGGGGTTGACGGCTTGCCGGAGGTACATTTATATCACTTCCGGTCTCCCACTTTCCAAAAAAAAAGCGAATTGAACTATTCCCACGATTGTGGGTAGGCCGGTAAACATAATCCTAAATTATAACATTGGTGTATTTTTTTTTTTTTTAACAAATTCACAAAAAGTTGGATTCGAACCATTGCTCTGGAAGGTAGAAAAATGTATTTATATGTAACCTGACGCCACTGGATCCGAAAGCCTAAGTACATAACATTGGTGTATTTTTTTTTTTTAATAAATTCGCAAGAAGATGGATTCGAACCGTTACTTTGGAAAGTAGAAAAATGTATTTATATGTGACCTGACACCACTGGACCCGAAAACCCAAGTGCATAACATTGGTGTATTTAACTTGTGAAATTTGATAAATATACACTTTTCAAGTTTGGGGAGTCAAGTTGTTCTAAAATTAATTTTTTGATATTTAAATTAATATTTTTAAATAATCTCAAAGTTACATCTCTTATCAAGTAAGTACAAATATTTTCTTTAAAAGAAAGTTGCAGTACTATTGATAGAAGGAAGGGATTATAAAAAAAAATACAATGTTTTAATATTTAAAATTTTATGACCCTTTATGAAATTATTTAAATATTTTTATTAATTTTGAAAAAAAAATTTAATAAAAAAATTTAAATAATTTCATAAAGAGTCTTAATATTTTAAATATTAAGATGTCTTAGTTTTTGTTTCTAAAAAAATTACCATGTTGCTCATGAGAGAGCATTGAGAATTTATGACAATGTGGGTGAATGTGTTTAACTGAGAAGTCAATTATAGTAGATCAATATCCAACTACAAAGGTTAATTTGCTCCAAACTCCTGACTCCATAGTGAATGTTGATGAATAGAGGACCTAATCCGGCAAACAAGTTAGTTTCTTAATTTCGAAAGAATAATCTAAGTAATTCAGTATTAAAAATAAAAAAATTTTGAATTTAAATTACTTAACATATAAATAAAATTATGAAATAAAAAATAAAAAAAAGTTATCTCTTACAATACAACTAAAAAGTTTCTTAATTTGGCAAGAATAATCTAACTAATTCAGTATTGAAAATAAAAAAATTTTGAATTTGAATTTACTTAACATATAAATAAAATTATGAAATAAAAAAAAAATTATCTCTTACAATACAACTAAAAAGTTTCTTAATTTGGCGGAGACAGGACATAACTTCAAAACCCAAACTACCACTGTGCTGTTTTTATTCTGTTTTCATTGCTTCTGAGTTTCATAAATACAAAACCTAACATGTCAGAATGAAATTTGCATTTCCAAAATTTGGTTTAACATTTTCAACATAAAGAATTAAATAAAAATTCTAGTGAAAATCTCAATTTTCAATTTCGTTATTATAATGGTTGCGCGTGCGGCGCCGTGCGCTCCCACCTGCCCGGTTGATTCCCAACATTACCACCTTCGGTTTTTTTTTTTTTTTTTTAATCCTCTGGTTTTTTATTCATGATCAATTACTCCAATATCTGGTTAAATTATGTCTGATTTCAGGGTCCACGAAATTAAATACAATATCTGGTTTTTATCTGATTTTCATATTATGAGTAGTTTTTTCATTATTAGTAATGAATGATGTTATATGGACAATTATTTTATTTTATTTTTTATATAATTTTTACATATTATTAAATAAATAAATACATTTAATATTATGAATCTCATATGAATTAAAAAAATTAATAATTTAAACAATATATCAAATTGTAAAAAAAAAACTAAAATATAAAAATTATGCAAAAATCATTTTCCTTTAATAATAATAAAAAAAATCTACCTTTATTTTTGGCCAATGGAATAACCTTTTTGTGAAGCGGACCAATATGCAATTGCCCAAGTCCAATGGGCCGTTTAATGTGGTCCTTTTCTCATTT